CAAACTTAGTGGCTGAGGTACATCAACGATACGACAGTCTGTAGGTGTACAATGGGTGTCGGTAAACGGACATAATATACTTTTACAAACGTTTTGCCAAAATTCTCCAGAAGACCAGAGCTTTGTGGTTATTGTGTCTTCGGTGCAGCGATCGCAGCGTTAATGATTGGAGCTATGTGGGCGTGCATTTATCGATTACTGATGTTTTGGCGAAAGACGCATAATGAATTCAAGATAAGGACGTGTAAACGACCAAATTTCCGAATAAACCTGATTATTCTTATCCAAATTGCGAACACCGAATTACTTAACTTCGGGCGTCTCTAAGTTATTTTGAACTCAGGAACAGATTCGTTTGTCAGGATTTAAGAAAAGAAGCAAGTTCCGAACCATTTTTCAGTTGTGAAAAATTAATCTGTTCTGCTGCTATGTAAAAATATTTACTTCAATTGAGGAATAACAACAATAACTCTATATCTCGTAAGTGTTAGCCTAGTGTTTCCTCATAATGCGTGTAATTGAGCCTTGACAAGCGGATCGACTGACACCAAGTAATAGATTGATCTGAAGGTGAAGGGATTGCCTCCAGAAAAACTGAACTGTTTATTGCGTAGATTTGTCACAAAGGTTGTTTATTACTGTCGTTGACCGTTGAATCGCCAATTATCACCAGCTGTCCGCTAGGCTGGGAAGGCACTGAATGACCACTTTGCGATTGTCGCTTTCAACTCCATCAGTCACGATTCTTTTACGCGGTATATATGGTTAAGGTTTGCCGTCCATTGTAAATAAACAAGAATGAGGTATACATGTGTTCTAGTTGCACAAAGTTTATGATACCACGTTTCATGATGATTTCTGTTCTATTATGGATTTGAGTCCTTATCAGATAAATTAGTTAATGCATGCCTGTAGATTTTTGAATTTATTGTATACCAAAATGAGTATTATTCGTGAACCTGATTTTCAATAGTTCAGGAAAGCGAACAGTCACAATGGCGACAGAAGCAATCTGCCCTATATTGGTCCATCTGAATGCAACCATCTGATTCATTAAACAGGAGCAATCCCTTTGTCGACTTGATACAATAGCATTGCAATCCTCATTGATTTATTTCCGCGTGTTTTACTTTGTTTCACGTTAATGATTGTGATGTATCATATGATCACAGAATAGTTCTTTTCTTTTTATACACCGGTGCCCATAATAAAAATGTTGTCTATTAAATTCAATCAACCTGGTGGTTCCCATAATTCTTCGTTGGACAGCCGTTTACTAAGATCCGCAGCCCAGTTTTATTTAATCCACACAAGATAAAACCTCCAAAGTGTTGTCCTTAGGTGACATACCGTCGGTTAGACAAAACCAAACCAGCAAGGTCACGAAAGGCGGTCACTGGAAACAGCCTGCCTCCAACCAAAATGATCAATATACCACATGGGCAATTCGTGTGCCAGATACAGTGATCCCCTTATTGATTGCTGAGTGGAATTTGCGTGACTACCGAATGGCACGAACCGAAATGTGAAGATGTAGGATTCCGTTGGATAGCAGCATGATTTCAGACAAGCATACGCAATGCGAACAAACACAAGGACAATATAGGCCGTTTGTGGGACGCTTAGGACGCTTGATGCATCTTGTGGATTCAAGCATAGATTTATCCCTTGGGTACCGAAATTCATAGTCATTTCTAATTATTGTTAAGACAAACTATATAACCGGTGTAGTCATCTTATATAGCTAGAAAATCCTGATCAATAAGACACAGATTATTAGGCAGTGAGATCAGTATATCACCGAAATTCCGGATTGTTTCTTCTGTACTTACTGGCTGCGAACGGATAAAATAGAACAGTTTGAGCTGAACGCCTCAGTCATAAAGGTTTCAGATTCAAAGTCCACAGCAGCAAAACACTGTGTCACTGTGGAGGAATTTTTCCAAAAAAAGTATACAGTTTTTCATCACTAAACGCGGCTTCAAATATGTAACCCAATGCGTGGTGAACGCATTTACCTTGATCGCTTATGTACCGTCAGTCTGACGGAGAAATGGACAATATCTGATAACGAACACAGGTAAAAGTCACTTGAAATTTAAAGGCATTCAGTCATAAGTGAATATTTAGATGTATGGGCGAATGCAATATGAATGACGAGAAAAAACAATACATTTGCACACAATCCGCAGACAAATCATCGCTTTCCACATAGTAAGTCCTCTTTTACGCTGATATTGCTGAACGCAACCTTTAAATTTACCCCTTTGATATTTATTTTCATTTCTCACTTTTCAGTAGTCAGTCAGTTTTTCAGTTACCCATACAAAGGGCTATTATTTTATTTTTTCCTACTCCAACGGCAGTTTTTTATCACGGGACTTTCGTTCGCCACGTTCGCTGTGCCACCGGAACGCCCGGAAAATCGATTGCAACTGTCTTTCACACTGTTCCTAACCTCAGTCGCCTTCAAGTTTGTAATCAATCAATCGTTGCCAAAAATATCATACTTGACTTACATGGTAAGTGCAATGTCCTCCGAGCCCATTGCTTTCTTACTCACATCCTCGAGGTGTTTTGTGCTTTCACCTGGCAAATAAGTGGTTTTTTGAAACTTGTGAATTTATCACCTAAGGACGAATGAACTGTCCAAAAGCAACCAGTGACTGACTGACGAGGGACAACTTTTCTCTGATCAACCTCAGGTTTAACTTTTGCTCAAGAAAAAAATAATCTGGTCTCTAACCCTTTTGATCTGGTGAAACAAATTGATTCAGCGCATTCAGCGCTTTTTGTTCGCTTTACTATATTTTCTCGGCAGTTTTCGTCTCATAGAAAGTAAACGAAACAATAAATAATCGGCGTGCATAAGGCCTAGATTGCTGGGTGCTCTTTTCACACAGCAAGCCATCATTTGAAAGCTAATTATATCATAATCAGTGAACGGTACACTTCTTGGCTTCAGGCTCCATAATTAGCCGGACAGAAGGCACTGGCGCGAAAGGTTGCGAAGAGTGGCAGCTTTGTTGAGTGGATTCCACTTTATAATTGAATGTCAAGCATTACACGGAGAACATCTTCTCCCTTGATCTTTTGACCTGTTTTAAGTAGATTTATTCGAGTTAATAAGGATTGTTTTAGTTTTTGATTGAAAAATACTCTTGGTTGGACGAAATTTTTAGTGATCTTACCAGATAAATTATACGAGATTCATCTCTGCGAAAGTAAATTCGTCAAGCTCATTTTGGTTTTGATCAAACTTTTGGCTTGTCCCGTTCTATGGGCTTTGTTTACGTTATATAAACAACCACTAGTAGCATGATTGGTATACGTAAATAAAAGTGATTCATTGGACATAGTACTTTGACGATTTGTGAACACCAATATCACCTCTTTGATACGGAGATTGCTATTTGCCGTTTCTGAGAGCAAGGTTGCACATTGACGTGGAGAATGCATTCATTTGTTAATCTGTTGCAGCAAAACACATTAACCAAAGCTTTTTGACATTTCTCACTCTCCCACATCTTCTGTCATCGGCTCGCACATACAAGGACAAATATGTGCTGATGTCTTTGGCGATTCTTTGCGTGGTCAGTATCTGGCATGCCATGGTTACCCTCATCCCAACAGATGCCGTATTTGAACAAGAGGACGTAATGAATGTGTTGAAATTTTCCAGTTTGGACAACGCCACATTATTTCGCTTGGATAACAATCGAACTAACACCACAGAAGTGCTTCGTGAGTATCTTGGTCTGAAAACTGATGCTGTTGATCAACCCAACAATACTGCAGGTCGGTGGGTCGGTAATACAGGGAATAATGGGGTAAGAACTGATTTATCCACCAATGAACAATGTGCCCTTTAGCGACAGTACTCGTTTGGTTTGTGATTGTAGATGATTATTAGTGGGTTGCTTTGTGATTTGCATATGGCCCTCATGGATTTTCCAATCCATAGCATTTGGCAAATGTTGAGCTTCATGATGATCTGAATACGAATTTTAGATTTCTTAACTCAATCGAGTACTCAGAGCAGTTGCGCACTGTATCTGAGGAAGGGTGAAACAAAATAAATTGGCTAAACTTTCCGGAGCACAGTGCTGAAATGTTGAAAGTTGTTTTCTGTATGGTTGATGTGGAAAAAGATCACTGGTTTTCCAGTTAGATCGGACCGGTTAACCTGCAGCCAGGAAAGTAATTGATTTATGGCTAAGGCAGTTGATCAAAGATGTGATTATCCACACCACATAGAAAGGGGATTCGTATATCGATGAGAATATCGCCCAAAAGTTGAATCAGAAAATAATCTATTTTTAATTATTTCCGATAACTTTGTCACTGGCTTCTCCGATATATCGGACACACATGATTCCAGTGTAAGATTAAGAATTGGTTGAATCCCACACCGCTAATTTTTCACACTCATAAACCTCTTCTCATCACGTCACTTTATAGGTAGTTTGATGCAAAGATTTTGGTGATTTTTTCACATTTTACACTCTGTGAATTTGAAAACGCTGTTTTCCCTTCACAAATTCGAAAAATAGAAGTCAAAAACATGGGTTTATACAACGTATCCATGGTCTTTTCGCTGGATATGTGCATGTGCATAATACAGTCAAAGCGTATTTTTATGTAAAGTGGAATAAAAACCGTGAGAGGAATACAAGTTCGGTAATCACAACAGACAACACGATACGGGGAGAGTAGGGGTTTTTCACCAAGGCAAAGCTATTGGGACTAACCACTTACGTTGTTCGCATTGATCGGGTTTGAGAGTATGAATGACCAGAGCCTCGTCAAACTTCAAGAACGTTGTGTTTGTCATGTTGAAGATGACTTAAAATGCGTGGAGTGAGGAGTGAAGTGATGTTTTTGTTCGAATAAGTGAATAGAATAAGTTGTAGAAGTTTTCAGTCTTTTCTGCCCATTTGATGACGCAATAGTTTTAAACTTCTCGTCCTTCGTTTTTACACCGGGATGTATTCGGCCATTCGGCTATGTAACTGCCTCTCTGTCATGCCTATAAAGATGGCTGAGCATCCACACTTGAATTTGTAAACGCAGTTTGATTTGGTGGAGGGGGCAATGGTTTATTAACCGATGTCGATGGTATCCGGGTGGTAGTGAAGACAACTGCGTAACAGACGAGCTTGACGTCAGAGTTCAACCGCTTACTGATTAAATCCTTCACATCATCTCTTTTGCATGATGAATTCTTTCATTTTGAGGGGCGTTATTGGTTTTGCTACTTTTGGTGTTGTTCTACAATGCTTGGTGATGAACGCAAATGGAAATCCGTTTGTGTGTAGTACTTCACTTAAGAAGCCATTTTCGTCTTTTACAGAGTCTTCTGTGCATGAAATAGTGCACAAAACCAGACCAAATTTTTATCCCGTCTGGATGAAGCTCGTGGAGTGCGTTCTTCGTCGAGTGTTTTAAATATACACAAAATGAAATTGCTGCAATCAATTGATATGCCAGATGAAATAAGAATTACCCAGAGGTCCGTTTTTCCATCAAGGAAGCAATTATTTATTCTCTTGAAAGCTTCTTCATATCAACAATCAAACTTGTTATTTATTGGAAAAGGGACTTGCGATGCAAATTACAGTTTGAGCTTTGCCCATGGGGTGGACGCAGATGTGTTATTTCAAAGGTCATTTTGTCTTAGAATAAATTTCAAGATTATTTATAAAGGAACTTTATGCATATGGTAAGTTATATGACAATTACAACATCCACAAATCTCTCTCGATACCTCCGCAAGAGGCGTTCGTTGGAGAACATCACACAAACTAATATTCCACCGTTCGTCGCAATCAACGGGTAATGCCGAGTTCAATTTGCGTGATGCGTAATTTGCAGTCAGAATATGAGAGAACCTTATAATTTTAACCCATGTTTATTTACAAGTTTAAAGTGCATTTGCAATAGTCCCACCGCTTGATGTAGTAGTTTAGAGCGCACAGTGACAAAAACAATATGGCCTGTACGATTTTCGTATCCGAGAGTATGCTCTTAAAAAGAAACGCTACGAATTAGGCTAACAACGTGGTGAAATTAATGCAATGGTTAATCATGGTTTTCGTGGGTGATTCGTGAATATTATTTTGATAGAGTGGTGTGAGGTTTCAGAATTTTAGTTGGAAAGAAGATGGAGCGCTTGATAAACAAAAGATTTAAGCTTTATTGATCATAGTTGTCTCCCATCGGTGATTGACAAGAAATGCGTGATCCTCCCTCCGGAAACCATGAATTCCACTTCATTAACCGTATATATATATATACTTCAATGTACAATATATACAGCTTTTTTGAAAACAGCTTAGTCTATCATTCTCAAAATATTTAATTTCCCTGATTTTGGGCAACGTGAATGCATCATCCAGTTTCTACTTCAGAATGTTTGACAAACCAAAATTACAGGGGCTATCTCACAGAGGTAAATGAACATGGTAAGCGAATGGGAAAGACATAAGAAGCAGGCTGGAAATCCCCTATTCAGCGATACACTACAGTCTGTATGCACAGGTATTTCTAGACATCCAGCATAGGTATTTGAAACTAACATGTTTCGTTTTTTCTACCTGAATAACCAATCAAACTACTATAAGCAGCAAAAACCTTTCATTTTAAGTTATACCTAATTTCGAATCATAATTTGATCATTATAATCAGTACAATTAAAAAAAAACATGGTGTAGTGTTTACGGATAAGTAATTCTGTCATAGTTTAAAAATCTTTAAACTTCAAATTAAAAACTACTGTGAATAAACGGTTGGACAACAGGTGATTACTTAATGATACAGCGATCGTGTGATTCCCACTGGATTGTCCTTAGGTTAGTTCAGCATCAATCCTCCGTTTTTTCTACTCTATCCTCATTCGTCCCATGGATTATTGAATCAATCTCCAAAATGAGCTTTGCAGCCGGTGGAGATACTAGAATCAAGGACCTCGTAAACTCATAGATGAGGATACAGTCACAGCGTTTCCGCGCACAAAATAATACTATGTTGAGGGACTCCGGTTATCAAAGAACTCATTTATGCATGGAATTCCACAATGTACCACCTACGTTTTGAATAAAAATGAAAGTTAGATGTGTTTGCGATGTAGCTTTATTGTCCTTACAGTAGCCCTAATGAATGAACTCTGTTGTTGGTCAAACGTTATCAGCGAGACAATGTCAAATTACACCATGACAGCCTGTAAACCCTGAAAACCGTATCGTGTGTGAATCAGTTATCCACGTCTGACGAACAGACATATAGTAAGAGTTCGTTAAATTCATATACCCAACAGCTTCGGNTTAGTCCGGAAAATAATTTATGTACAAGAGTAAAAAATCCATAGATTGTTTGTCTCAAATAGATTTGTGAAGTGCGCTGAACTGGACAGTAACGATCACTGTTTTCTCACAGGCTTTATTTGGAATGTGACTGGTGTCATTGTTGTTAAACAGACGGTGCGGGAGCATTTGGGTTAAATAACGATTATTTTGTTGGCTTCTTAAGTTTCAAACAGATCAAAGAACATTTAATTTTGAAAGTATTCCAGATTGTGCATTCACAGCCCACTCAACGTAGTCATTTGATTTTACCTTTGCTTTTTCTGATTTGGGTTAAAAGATCACTCTTGGCGTTTGCGTTTGTAGACAGGTTCGAGTAAGCAAACTTTTGCTCCTAATTCGTGTAAAGGTAGAATTAGAGGAACCGTATGAAAACATTTGCATAAACTAAAGAAGATGTTCAGCTCTTCTCATCAATTCATATATACGTTAGTTGAACAGTTCTGATAAGTAAAGATTGTGTTCCATGATTCAGAGTGAATGAACGATTGTTTGTTTATTTGTATTTGGCCATCCTCTGAAGCCTCATAATTTGGAATTATTCGGTGAATGATTTCAAGCTGCAATAAAGTTGCTGCCCATGTATTGCATTTGCATCTCAGCTATATATCCAGATTGATTGATTCTGTCTACAGCTAGCATTTCCAGAGAAGCATGAAGCGTACTTTGGTAGCGGAAGTCTCACCTGTTAGTTACTTCTACCAAATATTTGGATCTTGGTGTGACACAAAACATTAAATGCGCAGAGATTTGAACGCAAAGAGACAGGTAATTTGGATCCAACAATATGTACACACTTTAATGTGTCGGTGGTTGGGTATTCTTTGACGGAAATTCTCTATATTGCCGGTTCTCCTAGTGTTCGTTTGTACCATTCAACAAAGGTAAAACGATGATAACAGTCGGCAAGAATGGACTTGAATGGGATGTTTATAGACCCTGCAGATTTTTGCAACGGGTTGATAACCTGATGTTGTAAATATATAGCAAAAGAATAACTTCACTCCAACTTTTAAATGAAGAAATGTGCTACACATAACGATCATTGTATCGCATTGTATCAATTTTTACCTCAATGATTATTATCTCAAAGATCCAAAATATTATTGGTTCTAAGCTCCACAAAGGGATCGTTTTTTGATTAGTTTAAGGTGAAAATTATAACTCAGAGAAATCGCACCGGAGGCAAAGAAATGGTTATGGTACCGACTAATAGATCACTGCATTTTGTTGTCTTATCTGTGCTGTAGAAGCATTTTAGTCTCAGAAACCTAGTTTGCAATTGCTGTTATCTTTTGACTTCGCATACTTATGGTTGCTAAATGAGAGTTTTCGATTTCACAGACAAATGTTGGATCTATGACACGTGGGTTTTAGATTGTTCTCGTTGGTTATCCCATCACAGACGAGTGTTTGACTGTGCAGTTTTAGTCATTTCTATTTCTAGGATGCATTTTTAGACAGAAAGTTTTCAAGGGAGTTGACAGGTCGAATGTGGATATTGCACTGCATTCGGATAATTGGCTTAGCAAACAATTGTCTGGGTGAAGCTCGCCTAACTTGAGCGGTTTTGCCCCGTCAGCTGTTTTTTTCATCTGATCTCACCTTCAGTCTGCGATTATAGATTGTGTTCTCACAGTTCTGTAAAAAGCTGCACATTATGCTGACGTCTGTGACAACTATGCTGGATGTTGTCGTGTGTTTACACTGTACTCTTCCTAGCTTAGCATGAAGTCTTATAAAATAGATAGACCGCTAAATATTAATTCCTGAAAGTAACTGGTACAAAAGCATCTTGGCTATGCAGAATTTACACGGAATTGTACAAATCTAAGAAATGAAGTACTAGGTGTTGCATAAGTTGATTTATCTCAAGCCTAAAGTGACTTCCATAGTTATGGTATTTATCCGCACACAATGCCATGAGAAACTAGGGTTTCCCACCGATGTATGTACTTATTGAACCTGACATTAGGATGATTGAAGGGTGAACGCTTTATTATTCCTTATACAATCTGTTTTGATAGTTTATTTTGCTGTTGTCAGGTACTTCCGTCTTACTATCTTTATACCATGGTAAGTTGTCCCGCTCACTCTACTGTATGTGTATCAACCGTATACAACCTACAGTCTGTTCGCAATCCATGGATATATGCTGGTGTCTTTTGTAAGAACCAAACTCATATTCACCGATAGTCGTCTAGAGTTTTCATGAAAATATGATTATGCTGAAACTAGTTGTAGCATTGTCAGGCGCAACAATGATCCTACTTTTACCAATAGTCGTCCCCTAGTCCTGCAAGGCAAGCATACGTAGCCGTTGGCTTTTAAACCTATCAACGGTGGAGCTTCGTTTTTGAGTTAGAGCACACATGTTTTATAAATAATTTAATGAGAGTTGATACTGTTCACTCAGGGAAATCATTTTAAAGTATATTGTGTGCAATCGAAAAGCATCTGTTTCCACTTGTAGGTAGTGAGCTTTACAGATAAATTGCATAAGTGTCTTCACCTACGGGAGTTTCAATCAACAAAGATAATAATTGTTTTCAAATCTCATTTGTTTAGCGGACTCCGAAGATCATTCTGACAACTTCAAATCCACGGCCAATGGAATTGACTACCGTTCCGACACCGTTATCAAGTCGAAAATCCCCTCTCCAATCGATCAAATCGAATCCGTTCGGAGTTTGGGATGCAGAGCAGTGGAAACGATTTGCACAACAATCAACCGATATGGAACAGGAGAAACGAATGCTCAAATTGCGCATTGAACGTGACGTATTTGCCTCGTTTTGTGTGCTCTACGGCCTGGCTCATTTAACATTTGCATTCTGGCTGTATTTCGATGTAAGCGACCATACACTGGAACGGATTTGAACTAGATATGTGGTACCCGTTTTAATACATCGCTATTTTTAACAGACTGATTTAGAGTTCTCCGGAGAGTTTGATGGTTATGACATATCAGAGGTTTAAGCCACATAAAGTGAAAAGCATACCATAGAATTCAGGAAAAGAGTTGACAAACATAACAATCAAAGTAAGAGAATTTCGGGATCAAACCGGTTGGTGAAGTAGTGAAGCTAAGACGCCAACTGAACAAGAGCACCATTTATTGGACTACTTGATTTGACTTGACTTGTCAACGGATAGGATTATCTCAGGGGATTTTCCGAGACAACATAAGAAATGGATTGTCTGCTTTTCATCTGATATTCATAGTAAATATTTTAAAATTTAGAAGTTAATATCGATCATATGCTTCTTATGTTCAAGCTCTCAAAAAATTTGACATCTTGTGGCCAGTACATCCAGCTGATGTGTATTCTTTTGCAGGCGAGCAAACGCAGACGGGAAATGGTCGAACGTGACCGTCAATACAAAGTAGGTTCCGATTATGGTGTATTAGGTTCATGTCCTATTATTCGGAATGCAGTATAATGTCTACGCTTCACGCAAGACAGTTCATAGGACGAGATTGATATGAGACTTTCCTCCAGACTCAGCTATTCCAGACCGGCTTTTAAGTATGTGACTCGAAATTCTACATTTTCACTTTATTGGTGCGACAGTTTTGATCGTTAGACCCCGGTCAATACTCTCATATAATGTGTCATCGAGTTGGAATGTTCCCAACTAAGTGATGATGTCAGAGACTGGTGCTGAGATCCGCAAGCTGCGATGCCGGCAATAAGCACACAAAGATGGGTTGTGCTGCATTGTATATAAGAAAAACTAAAAGTTGTGCGTGACTGTGAGAGTAGTATGCTTTCGTTCGACCTGTGAGGTCAGGGGTACGATTCCTATTTGTTTCTCACTGACGGATGAGACCCAAACAGGATGAAACAACTTCCTGGTCTTTCACTTCATCTTTCATTTATTCTTTACACGGTAAAGTTCACCATAAGAACGAAACCACTGTACAGTGTTTTTTAGGGCTTTTCAGCTGCATGTGTGACACGTTGAAGTATTTCAGTTTAACTTATGTCGCCTCTTCTTGTTAAAGTGGAGAAAAAGTATCATCGAGCAAGACACAACCGTAAGTTTGATTGAGTTTATAGGAACTATGTGAGTTAAACTTCCAAGTGGTACATTGCTGTCTATTTCATTTTCCGTTTGGGTCAACCTTTTATGGACTGGCAGAACGTGTTTGGTTTCTCCGTCATTTATTGTTTTACCGGGACCAAAATCTCATCTAAACATATTGTGCTGTTTTTTCCTCTCATTCTGTTTCTACATTTGAAGTGATTCATCTGATTCCGTTACTTTTCGTTTTGTTGTCAATTTACTGGTTTTGCCAATCGTTTAATCCCCCGAGGACAACCTGTTATCGATTTGGAACAATAAAAGCTCAATCGCTCACTATTCGGTGTGGTATTATGGCTGCCGGATAACGGCTGGCGATATAAGACAAATGAATATTACTTTTCATTAATTCTCCCGCTTTGGGAAAGCACGATTAGAACAACTTATTCCGTAATTGTTATTTTGTAACATTTCCATCACGGTGAGTGATATTAACGAACATATTATAATAAAAGATTGATAAACGTCGATGCTCAATTTATCCTAGTGAGATTACATTTTGAGTGTTCAGTTATTTTTAACTTTTCTCTTTTATTCAACAAGAATACGAATTTCAATTACTGTGCAAACCCATAAATTTATGTACGCCTTATATTTTCCCCCTCGAAACAGCGATGTCTACAAGCCTCTAAAGTGGTTTAATACTAGGTCACAATGGCCTAATTCATTAGGTAAGTTTATTTTCCCCAACGGTTTGAAGTATTATTTTGATTATTGGTTTCGTTGAAGTGAAACGTTTGAACACACGGACGAAGTCACTATTTCAATGTATCTAAGACGTGTGAATAAATACCTTTCAGAATCGTGACTTACTATAGTTTCTTGACGAGGCTGGTGCTGCCCGTGAATTATTTGCTCTTTAATAATATGGGAAACGAACATAATTGCTGAATCGTTATGGATTTGAAATTATTTTACCTTGGCAGTTTTTCAGTGATGGTTGTTCAGCTTTGATTCATGGGTTATTAGCCTTGGTATCACTTCGTTTATTGAATAGTATAATATCCAGTGTGTACCTTAATCTGATCTGAAAATTACCAAGTAAGCGATTACGGGAGACAACCCAGAAAAGGCACGTTGATGAATGTTGCAGCGTTATTTGAGACATAAATCAATGCGTCCATTTCCTCGCAGAAGCATATACCGGGAATGGGAGACATTCAGTCAGGGCATCATCAGAACAATGTATCATTATTTTTTAGATCTCACAGCAAGACAAACCACGGTTAGAGGTTACTTGTGCCGTTGAGCGAATTGGTGATCCAATGAATCGCTGATGTTTTTGTGTGATGGTTTGCTACTTCCAGACCACGGTAGCCTTATCGATTTGACCTATTGTGGTAATTCATTACGTGACAACTTTGACATTCTGATCAGCTCAGTAAGCAACACTGTTCTAGTTGAAGTGACAGATTTGACTATGACTGTGGAGTAAAAGTAGAAGAACTTTCATCAAATAAACACGTTTTCTATGTCTAATCATGGGAATATGTGCGATGGAATCAAACTTCCCCTTCTTGATAGACCGGGTTCCTTAGGGTCGAAATGTAGTGAAACATGTAGCAGTAATTCATCAGAATACTGACGTTTCAGCGTTCTGTCAAAACGTGCGGTAGTACATTGAGATATAATTTCAACGTTATTGTCAAATTTAAGTCATTCAAAGTAGGTTAAACATCACATCTCTCACAGGTATGCTGGGTATTATAGAACCGCAAAATTATAGTGTTTGGTGTGCATTTTTGTGGAAATAATCTTGTAAATACATTGAAGATTATTGTACTGGATTCGATGGTTGATCTTATTCATTCGTCGTGTTGATAAACCAGTATTTTAATTAGGAATAATGAGGAATAAAACTGAATTCAATTAAAACGATTAAAAACGTCATTATCACAGATATAGTTTCCGTAACACTAATTGCTTGTATGGCAATATTCCTTCTGGTGCGCTAAGGACCGTTATTGATTCTGTGAAAATTTTCTGCATTTAATTTTTCTCAAATATTTTATTATTTTTAGTTCAGTTGGACGAAAATGGATGACTATTCGAACTCTTTTGTATTCTACCTCTATTGACCAAATTAGCACGGTCACGGAATTAAATCCGCGGTACACTGAACTGTGCAAACCACGGTTAAAACAGGGAGAACTCTCGGTACAATTACCAACACAACCCCCAATCTCCAATTGTTTGTATTCAGCCCCAGTTCCCATAAGACACAAAACTTTCCCCCACCTTTCAGGATCACTTTGTTCCATTTTCTCACTGCTTATTATTGTACTTGTGGCCTAAATAAAATATTCCCGTTCTCCAAACTAACTGTTATCATAAATGTGATTTTCGTTCAAGTTTTCGTTATTTTTAACTCACAAGCTGATGATAAATTGTATCTTCTCGCGGTTTCAAAAGCACCCGCCATATGGGATTCACTGTTGTATTTCACAAGTTTCCTGATCACGTTTTAATTTGAATCACCACCCTGGAGTGGATCCGAATCTTAGCATATACAACGTGTTAGCCTCTGAACGGTAAACAAGTAACCTGGTGAGCTATATCGACAGCGCTGAGGTTTTTACACTTGCTAATTTACCCGAAAGTCTCGAGTATCTGCACACTCAACTATCGTGAAGGATTCCTACCAAAAAAGTAGATAAAGCTAGAGGAAATCGGTAAAATTACAGTTTTCGTGTATTCCACTTGGTGGATTTTCTTTCATTTCAATCAGTTCTTCTAAACCGGCCCTGTTTGTTTACATGGTTTCCGACGGTTTGCCTTTGAAAAATTCATTAAAAAATATAGTTTATGATTTCTTCTAAACTCTCATTCCGTAATCGATATGAAGTTTCAGCAATACGCTTGAAATCACACCTAATCAGAGTTACAATGAAGCATGTTACTGAATAAAGCAAACAACCCGTGTACATGTGTTAGAATACAGCATCCATAATTCAAGTGAATTCACCGTACCTTCAAGTGAATCCATCGTAACTTCAAGTTAATCCAATCAATCGCTTGTCACCTGAAACTCAACCAAGTGATTGGTTCTTCTGTCGTCAAGCCTCACCGATTTCATCTGGTCTATCAAAACCCCGTCTAATCAGAGTGAACTGATTTCCTCACAGACAAACAGAAGTACTTTATGAGTGAGTTACCGAGTGAAGATAAAAGTTTCGGTGGGTGGGGTTAACTGTTCACCTCCCCCCCCCTCCCGGCCTTTATGGGGCAATCCTGTTCTGGTCTCTCAAATCAGATTTATCACAGGGACACGGCGCTTATCGGTGCAACTCAGACTGGCGACAGTGTGTTTCGACAGCATCCTCAATAAAGGCATTTGTAATTTATTAGAACATAGGTTGGCAGGCGAGCTCGTTTTCAGGGGTGATTCAGCAGGCTAAATAGATTCTATTGAGTGAAAAATATACTCAACCTCAGCAAGTGGATGTAACAATAATATTGTTCCCTAAACGAACTCTTACTTGGACCCCAAAACGTTAACCCAGTGGAGCAGCCAAGTGGGAATTATGGAAAGCGAGGGCCTGATTCAGATCAGATTTCATCAGCAATGCGAATCCACTCACCCAACCGAGGATTGAACTCGGGACCATAAAGGACGCATGCGTGCTACCCACTAGACCATCCGGAAGCTTCACAGGGCGTTTTCCGCCTTGTAAATACATATGCAATAGCATACCCATATCTGAAATCTTATTATTTGTAATATTCAATCCGGCTCAAAGGAATCGATGATATTCGAGGGGACCTTTGCCTCAGTGGAATTGACTCACTAG